ATCCAGCACCACCTCTGCCGATGGGGGATTGTTCGCTGGCCCGATGGGAACCCCACCTGAATCCCGGGGATCTTCGCGAACGAGAGAGCGCACAACGAGGCCACATCAGGATAAAACGCAACAGTCGTAGGCTAATGCGTCGAAATATCCGACCCATGATCGACCGTGATCTTCGAGATAGCCTTGGTGAACCCGAGGGAAACACGAAGTAGTCGCACATGTTAAGTTGCCCCCCAGATCCCAGGCACGTTCCAGGAACATCGGGAAAAACGATGTTGGAAGACAACTTGGACGCAAACAGACTAGACTTGAGCACGTCAAGCCGCATGTAGCAACCGGCGCCCGCCAGGAAAGGCAGCTCGGAAATGTCGAGCACGCTGCCCGCGCCTGCAAGCAACTGAAGGTCGCGGTCGGAAAGCCCCCCAGAATCATGAATATAGAGAATGAGCAGCTGCACGGAGCGGCTTCCTGGAATTTGCACGCAACCTTGGATGGCCCTGCCGGGGGCCAGAATTGAGCCCCCCGCGGGAGCATACAAACCCAGAAACTGCCTTGCCAGAACGGCAACGCCCCCTGAGGCGCCACCCCCAGGAGCCGAGAGAGCGGGGGCGAACAGCCCACGCCAACCATTAGACGAGGCCCATTTGGAAGATTCTTCGATGGATTCACTGCCCCGTGGCCGGTGTTCTTGCACGAGGGCCGCATGCGACGCAGTAGACCCAAGCTAGGACTTGATAGGTGACCAGGCTGTGCAATTCACACTACGGACAGCGCAAAACTGGAAGAATCGGGCTCGGTTGGAGCGGCCAACAACTCGTTTCCAAAACTGGGCCCAGGGGGCCGACGTGAAACGAAACATCTCCCCCCCCCCTGCTCACGCTCATTCCTGGCGTGACTCGCCAACGGGGGGGGGGGGGGGGGGGATTTTCGGGTCCAGGCAGCGGGCGCGCTCGCGCACGTCGACCTTGCTTGGTGGCGCTGCGGGCTGCGAGCTGTCCCAGCTTGGGCCTTGCGCCTTGCGCAGAAGAGGATGCTCCTCCGCCAGCTGCAGGTGGGCCTCCAGCTCCACCCGCGGCGGGGGATGGTGCAGGATCAGGCGGGCCACCTCCAGGAGGAACTCCAGCTTCTCCGTCGTTGCCGTTCCTCTTCTTGTGGAGCCGCTTGAGGTGGTCTGCTCTGCGTGGGCTGCCTTGATGCTGCCAATATTATTGAAGCAGTTTCCAAAACAGATAGGTGACCATCTGCTGAAGACTCGATTGCAGCTCGGCTGCTCGCTTGTCGATGGCCTCACGGTCTGTCTCGGAGATCTCATAATCGTCCAAGCCTCCCAGGAGGCCCGAGACGTCAAACTTGAAGCCGCCGCCGTCCACAATGTCACGCAACTGAAGCACCGGAATCGTTTCCCTCTCGGAGGATGGGGCCTTGTGCGTCTCGGCGTGCAGCTGGGCGACGAGCTTGTTGTGTAGTTCATCTTGTGCCGTGAGCGCTGCTCGGAGTTTATTGTCGATGATGGTTTGTTCCCATTTGTCCAGCAGGTCCAGTTCACGATTGAGCTTGGGAGGAACAGCTTCACCACGGACAGTGTGACAACGCTTGCAAAACCAAAAGTGCGGCTTGTTCTTCGCGCATCGACACTTGGGATTGAGGCACGCCCAATTACCAGCAGCAGGGGGTTTGCCGCCGCCCCCTCCTGCTGGAGCCTATGGCCATCTCGGCCAACCTCCGCCAGCGGCCGCCAGCCGCGCGGGAAACAACCCAGGGAGGCGTGCCTAACATTGCGTCTGGCTGAGAATCGCTCTAGCCGAAGGCGAACCAACTTGGCCCGCTGACACCCGGCTGCTCTGAAGTGTTAAGTGCCAGCAAGCACAGGAAACCTGGAAAAGGGCCTGTGCCAGAACAGCTGGAGGAGGGGGAGGAGGAGGAGGAGGACGAGGAGGAGGAGGAGGAAGGTTGTAGGAGGAGAAGGAGGAGGAGGGGAGGAGGGGGAATATGAGTAGGAAGGAGGAGGAGGGGAGGAGGAGGAGGAGGAGGAGTGGGAGACATGGAGGATGAGGAAGGATGAGGCATAGGAGGAGGGTATGAGGAGGAGGAGGAGTGTTAGGGTCCATGAGTAATGAGTGAGATAGCGCGTATGCCGTGGTGTGTCAGTCATTCTTAGGTACGGGATGATGATGACAATGATGTTCGGAGTATTAGTGCGAGCAGTGGAGTTGACACGCTCAAGTGCGTCGCGTCATATCCTGACGTCCTACCCTCCCTCCCATCCCTTACCATGGCGCTGATTTTCTCTATCTGCGGACGCGTGTCGTAGCGGACCCGTGGCTCCGCGCGCGCGTGCGTAGTGGGTCGTGGTGCGCGTGCGTGCGTGCGTGTGTGCGTGGTTGTCCCGTGGTGGTGGTGGTGGGGTTTAGTGGTGTGGTGGTGGTGGTGGTGGTGTTTGGTGGTGGTGGTGGTGGTGTGGTGGTGGTGGTGGTGGTGGTGTGTTGGTGGTGGTGGTGGTGTGTGTGTGGTGGTTGGTGTGGTGGTGGTGGTGGTGGTGTGGTGGTGGTGGTGGTGATGGTGGTGTGGTGGTGGTGTTGGTGGTTCTGGTGGTGGTGTTGGTACTGGTGCGGTGCGGGTGGTGGTGGTTTGTGGTTGGTGGTGGTCGGTGGTGTGGTGGTGTGGTGGGGTGTGGCGGTGCGGCCGCGGGGCGGGTGTGGCGGCGGATGGGCGCGCGAGAAAAAGGCCCGCGCTGGGGCGAGAACGCCATCCTGAACGACGGAGGCCAAACACCGATCCGAAAATGAGGCCCACACTGCAGCGGGAGCACGATTCGGAACGATTCGGGAGCAGAAATGAGGCCGGCGCCTCAACGAGGGCAGCATTTTGGAAAAAAATGACGCCGGTGTCTCAGCGAGAGTCGTTTCCCGGGATTTCCCGGGCATCCTGTGTGTACGCGGAGGGTGCGCGGCCATCACCTGGACGCCAGCAGGGGAAGAGGGAGAGTATATTCATATTGAGTAATTGTGGAGGAGGACGAGGAGGAGGAGGAGGAGGAGGAGGAGGAGGAGGAGGAGGGGGAGGAGGAGGAGGAGGAGGAGGAGGAGGATATCGAGTCTTTGAGGCAGGTGCCAGGAGACACGCTGCAGCTGGGCTGTGCCGCGTCCGGCCGAGGCAGGACGGCCCGGAGCTGGAGGAAAGGGCCCCTCGGCGCCGCCGCGGGCCTGCCGGATTGGATGTTCCTCGTGTCTGGTGCTGTCTGCACGCGCAGACGTACACCGCACTCGGAGCTCAGCCAACAAGGGGGTCTGTGCCTGCGCCTGGGAGGGAGCAAGCTCAGTGCACGTTCCCTGACACTCCCTCCCCTCCCGCCCTACCCCGAGCGAAGTGAACCCCACCTCCCCCCTTCGAAATCGCGGGGTGGCGGGGAAGGGTTCGCACGTGGCCGCCTACTCCCTCCCGCCCGCCCTGCACACGCGGTGCGCATTCTGTCGAGGGCGTCCGGCCGGAAGGGGCTGGCTGTCTGTGTGGGACCGTGTGCACTCGCTCTGTTTTTTCACATGGCCCCCTGAGGGCCAGTGAAGCTCAGGCGCCTGCAGTTCTGTTGATATCTTTCGATGGGGCTGTGCCTTTCGGCACGACCACGAGCGCCACGAAAGATTATGTGGGCAGCATGCCCCACCGTTTGCCTCGCCTAATATTTCTCCCATAATCTGCTGCTGCGTCGGGATGTTCCATCAACTCTGGTATTCGTCACGACGCTTTGGACTTGAACCAGAGGCCTGGTGGCCTCGTCTACCCACCCCCAGCTCTGGCACGCTGAGAACCCTGTTGAGCTTAGCTTTAGACCGTGGTCCTCGGGTCACATCCCGGGCCTCAGGCGGCATACTCGGGACGGTCCAGGCACCCCCCGAAGACACTCTCGGCGAGGCGCAGCCGCCGACGCTGGGAAACTGCCGAGAACATACGAAACTACGAAGGCGCCCGAAGACCTCCAAATGTAACACCTCGAACCACGAGCCTCTTCCCCCCACGTGCCCTGACCAACGAGGGCGTGAGGAACACAGCTCCCTCCTGCTGCCGAGGCCGATGCTCCACATGCCACAGCACAAAGGGAAGGCTCTGATCTGAGGCGCGGTCTGCCTTGAGTTAAGTCGGGCGTGTCCCCCATACAGGGGGATTTTCGACGGTAAATAAAACATACCCCCAAAATACCCCCGAAAAGGTATAAAAAAAAAAAAAAAAAAAAAAAAAAAAAAAAAAAAAAAAAAAAAAGTCCCCAGACTATGTTTGGACTATTGTTTGACTATTCTTGCGGTATTTTCTATTTTTCGTCGAAAATCCCCCTGTAGGGGGACAGGCCCGACTTAAGACTTGAGCTGTCCTGGACGGTTCCGCGGCGCCTGGGCAGGAGGCCGCCCTCTCTTGGCCGGTTTGGGGGGTTCTGCCAGACTGCCCGTCTGGGAGGGTTGTGCCCCCCCCCCTTTTGTCACTACAGGGCAATTTCTAATACATAGGATTTCCAAAATATAGGATTTGCAATACAGGATTAATGTATGAACAAATGTATGCATGAACTCATCGTTGTTTTTGATACTAAACCCTGCATGTTTAATACATGATCCGCACGCGGAGCATGTATAAAAAACGGCACTGTACAGAATGGGCTCGACCACAAGAAACCCTCCACAAGAAACCCAACCCTGAGACCCCAGGACGCCCATTGCTTCTTGGCATGGGAACGTCACGCTCGCCATAGCAGAACCATCGAAACCCAAAAAATGAAAGGCACCCTTGCCTCCTCCTCCTCCTCCTCCTCCTCCTCCTCCTCCTCCTCCTCTTCCTCCTCCTCTTCCTCCACCTCCACCTCCACCTCCTCCTCCACCTCCACCTCCTCCACCTCCTCCTCTTCCTCCTCCTCGAAACCCAGGATCCCCAGGGCACCCTGGAGGCAAGCAGGGTGTTTCTGGGCATGGGTCTCCCTTGTATGCACTCTCCCAGCGTCCGCCAACCCCTCTCTCCTCCAGGCGCCGTGGCCACGGGCTGCGGCATCTGCCCGCGAGCGGACCGCGCGCCGGTGCTCCTGCCGGAGGGCCCGG